ATGTTAAAGCCGCCCCATGTACCGTTAACTGAAAGCACGTTCACATGCGAGGATGTCAGTCACGCAGCAGTCATGTACTCAGTTCACTAGACAAAGACACATACAAAGAGGCGCCGAGTGACTGACACACCACACTGTTCTTTAGCTATACAACGTGCTCAGTGGATAATGCATATCACATGCAGATACATGCATGCAACATACATGTATGCATTATGCTGTGCCAACACTGCAATGTACAGCATACACTCATATTAACACACTAAAGTGTTAAATACCTCATAAAGTATATTAAATGCTCTACTTCTCCGCAGTCAAACCAGAAAATGTTTGATTTTTTCTTTACATTGTGAGAGAGAGAGAGTATGTGTGTGCGCGCATGCGTAGAGGGACATCTTCAAGAGTCTTTTCTTCCCTTCTATGATGTGGCTTCCAAGACCCAACTCTCGCCAGGCTTGGTAGCAAGCCCTTTTATCTGCTAGGCCATATCGACAGCCATGATCTCTGCTTGACAAAATGAAGGTAGACACCTCAGGCAGTAAAATGCCTCTGGCACAACAAGACGATCCAAGTTCCCATGGCCAGTACAAGCAAAAGCTAAGTACAGGGGCTGGAGAGATGGCTCAGAGGTTAAGAGCACTGGCTGCCCTTCCAGAGGTCCTCAGAGCAATTCCCATCAGCCACACGGTGGCTGAAAACCATTTATATTGAGATCTGGTGCCCTCTCCTGGCACTCATGTTTCTGAGTACAGCAGCATGTGTGTACTCTAAGCACTGGGGAAATAGAGACAAGCGGACCCTGGAGCTCCCTGTCCACCAACCCAGCCAAATCGATAGCTCCAGGTGCAGAGAGAGATCCTGTCTTAAAGGCTGGGTATGGGAGCACACGCCTTTAATCCCAGGAGCAAGGCAGAGGCAGGTAGATCTCCATGCCAGACTTATCTACAGCTAGACAGTTAGAGCTGTCACACAGAGAAACTGTGTCAAAAAACCAAAAAACCAAAAATAAAAAATAAAATAAATAAGCTAGAGAGCAATTGAGGAAGATGCCAGACACGAAAATAGTGTACCAACTTACTCTGTAACTTATTAGAAAATCTTTAAATGGATTTTTCTTTTATCATTCCCTAATTGTATACATCATATACCATATCATGGTATATGATATGGCCAGTTGTGGCAGCACACACCTTTAATCTCAGCACTCAGGAAGACAGAGCAAGGAGGCTATCAGAGTTGGAGACTAGCCTCATCTATATAGGACAGTGTTCTACAATGAGACTCAGTCTCAAAACAAAAAAGTAAGAACAGCAAAATGATTTATATGCCTTGATGAAGGGAAAAATACTGGCTGCAGTTTTTTTCAGAATAAAAAGAAATTTTTTAAGAGACTGATTATTCTATGTGTATGAATGTTTCGCCTGCATGTATGTGCACCTAAATGTGTGTCTGGTGCCTACAGATGTCAGAAAAGGCATTGGATCCCCTGGAATTACTCATAGATGGTTGTGAGCCCTCATGTGGGTGCTGAAAATGGGACCTGGATCCTCTCTAAGAACAACAAATTGATCTCAACCACTGAGCCATCACTCCAGCTGCAAAAAAAAAAAAAAAAAAAAAAAAGAAGTTTAAAAGGTATAGCCCAGGCTAGCCTAAAACTCATGATCCTCCAACTTCTGACTCTTCAACATATACTACCAGTAGGCATGCACCTCCATAACTGGCAAAAGAAACTCCACACTCAGATACATCACAAGGAAGGGTACCAAGCCAAGCACAGTGGTGATGCATGCCTATAATCCCATCTCTCAGGAAGCTGAGAAAGGATGATCTCCAGTTTGAGGCTAACCAAAAGGCAAAACAATAAGACCTGAACACAGCTCAGCTGTTAAGAGCACCTATAATTCTTATAGAGGACCGAGGGTCAATTCCCAGCACCCATGTGGTGACTCACAAGTCTGTAGTTCCAGTTCCGGTGGATTCGGTGCCCTCTTTTGGCTTCTGTGGGCATTAGGCATGCAAATGGTATACTTACACATAATAAGATAAAACATCCATACACGTAAACTTTTGTAAAAAAAATTAAAATGAAACAATATCAACAACAAAAGAGTACTGTAACAGCAATAACAAACTGCATATAATCCCTACTGAGATCCAGCCCTAGCACAAGAAATTCTAAAGGGCTGGGGTGAAATGCAATGGTATAGTACATGCCTAGTGTGTATGAGACCCGAGTTTAATTCCCAGCACCAAAATAATGACAGTTATAAAAATAACAAAAGGCAAGTGCAGATGACTCAGATTTCAGTTCATATACATTTCGAAAAAAATTACATTAGGAAACAGAAAAGGAGGAAAGAAGGAGGGAAATGAGCAAATGAATTGGTAAAAGTGGGTAAGTATTCTCAGCATCTTGGTACACAAAGAAAAAGTGCAGCTTGTGGAACCGCCAGGACAGAAGTACAAAACTAAAAGCAATAAACAGGCGGATGTCAGCGGGTAGTAAAGTATCTGATGGCCGCTACAGCATGCAGAAATAAGTCTGCACGAAAGTCTGCACTCTAAAACGCCTTCAGGACTCATGAAAGGAGTATGCTATGTTGTAGTGGAGGTACTGGTTTCTTTAAAAACTCAGTTATGCTATACTCTGTTTTTGTTTTAATCCCAAGTGTGGAATATGGGACTGCCTTAGTTTGTCCATGTGGCTTGGAGAGTGCCATGGTCTTTGTCAGCTGTAGTTAGTGAAACTCTGAGGACTCTAGGAAGGTATAAATGCCAGAGAGGCTCTGGAGAGGATGCCCAAGAGAGAGGAACATTTTGAAGGATGCTCAGAGAGACGGGGGAGGAGAGGCTTTGAGGAGATGGTCAGAGAAGGAAGAAGGCTGCTGCTAGATATCCTGACGACTGAGACTGATATTGCCCCAAAGGACCTAAAGACCCTAAGCAGCCAGAACTAAGTCTAAAGAGACCTATCTCCCCTTTCCCTCCTAACTTTCTCTCCTACCTAGGATTAGGGGACTGGAAAAGAGGTAGAGGCTTAAGAAACCCCAAACAAAACAGTTTAAAGTAGTGCTACACTATGTGGCCACTTCCTCCTGGAAGGAGGAGGGAGGCTAGGAAGATTCAAGGAGTTCAAGAAACTTACTGTTCTCATGAAGCTCAAACGCCTCACGATTCACAGACACAAGGTCATGAGAGTAGTAAATACTTGCTGGGGAGACAGTATGGTGGGTCCCTGAAAGCTGTTCATGAAAGCAGAGTTGAGAAGCAATCACCACTGCTAGGGGAGGCTTCTCAGTGATGTAGCTGTCGTAGGTCACCTATGCGCCCATAAGTAACCCTACACAAACTTACTAGTTCACCAAACGAGTCCGGGGAAATAATTTCTCTGGTTTGTAATTAGCGCCCTACCTACGGTAACAAATGTTCAAATCCTCCCCCCAAAAAGTCGACAACATAACTGGTACCTAAATGGGAACCAACTGAACGATGAGTAGGGATGCGTCGCTGCATCTCTAATATATGGATGAGGAGGCTGTTAATGAGGCTGATCTGAGGACGGAGGAGGACTAGGCCTGACATGCTGTCTTTCCCTAGTGTGCCTCCTTACTGGAGTGGCAGCCGCGTGGCTCTGTGGTGGCTGCTACGACATCCCATCAAGGCTTGCCATCTAAAACTGAAGTGTCCTTGGGGAAAAGACTCAGAAAATGGGGTGGCAGGCTTCCTTGATAAAGGGTATATCTGTGTATGCAGATGTCTCCAGACCACTGATGTACTAGAGAAAACATTGCAGTCTCTGAAAGTAGTGTTATGAGACAAGATCTTCCACAGGCTGTACTGGCGATAGCATACACTTTAGACATAAGACCCACAACTAAGGCTCAGCTGTCCATTGTAGGGCCAAAGAACTCAAGTCCAAAGAACTCGACCATGTAAGAAAAGACACAGAGTCGATCACTGAAACACACAGCAGACGAAAAGAAGTAGGTCCTGAAAGTTGTCATCAAACCGCTATGAGCATGCTGTAGCACATGTGCACGACACTCTATACACACATGACTTGATGGAAGTCCCAGTTAAGCCATAAAACTCAGCACACAGCACCACCTGCCAAAAGGAAAACTAAGGCATGATCTGTCAGCGTCCACAGCTCTGGAAAAGCCTTTAAATGTAGTAACCTTGCTTTTGACTTCTCTGCCTCTGGCATGTCGACCCAGAATAGAGTTGTTGTGCTTAAAAGCTCATCCAGATAAAGGCTCAGGGTGACACTGGGATCCTGAACACTCAGTATAGTCGCCCACTGCCCACCAGCTCATAAAGACTTTGTATTGGTTTAAACGGGTGTCTGAGCAGTCTTCACCAGTAGATACCCCAAAACAATGGTGCCAACACCTTAAACCTAGAAGCAGCAATCATGCTATTTCAATTTTTAGCTTATGATTTGAGCTTTCTTCTCTGTGTTGAGTTTTCTGATTAGACTTCTGTCATTACTATGCAAATAAATTGGCAGTGGGAGCCCTACAATGGACAACACTGCATTATAAAACTGTCAGCCAGAGGCAACTAGCTTACTGTCTAAGCTTTCCATGGTAGTTTTTAAAAGACAATGTAAAAAAACCAAAACCACTCTATTAGTGCAGGGCAGGGTTTGAAACACAACAGTAAAATAAGGGACAAGGTTTCATATATAAATTAGATTCAATTATGAACATAGTCCTCAAAAAAAAAACTACTGAGCTGGGCATGGTGGTGCATGGCTGTAATCCCAGCACTCAGGGAGTCAAAGGCAGTTAGATCTCTGTGAGTTTGAGGCCATGCTGGTCTACAAAGTGAGTCCAGAACAGCCAAGGCTACAGACAGAAACCCTGTCTCAAAAAGCAAAAACAAACAAAATAACAACAACAAAACACTACTGTGTAAAAACTAAAGTAGAATAATCAGGCCTTGCCCAGTGGCATATACCCAAAAGTCAGTACCTTAGTGCTGAGGCAAGAGGATGTAAGTTTGATGCTAGCCTGGGCTATATGAAAAGACCCTATGATCCAGCTTTGCTACTACTGAATACACCTAATGAACACAATCACTGTAGCAAAGACATGCTGTGCTCTTCTATTGCCGCACTCTTCACAGTGTCAGTGGAGGTGCCCGACGATGATAAACGAGGGGGTAAATAAACTATAGTTTGTACATTTCATTTAGTCATGAAAAAGAATGAAGTCTAATCTGCAGCAATGTGGAAAAAAATTATGCTAAGTAGGATATGCCTGGCAGAGAAAGCCAAGAAATATTCTTGTTCGTATGTGAACGCTCAAAAAGCTGGTCTCTCAGGGGTGGCACATGTCTTTAATCCCAGTACTCCTGAGGGAGATCTCTGTGAGCTGGAGACCAGCCTGGTCAACTAAGTCCATAGAGCTACTTCTAGGACAACCAGGGCTACACACACACACACACACACACACACACACACACACACACACGAGGTCACTAAAAGTTAGGAGAGGAAAAAGAGGAAGAGGGAGAGGTTCAATAAAAGGAACCAAGTTACAATAGACATGAGAAAATGCTTATGTCGAGGCTATTTGCAAAAATTTATATTCTACAAAGAACTAGGGAGGAGGAGCTTAAAGGTTCAAACCTCAAAAAAAAATACTATAATTACTCTGATTTGACCATTATACACAGTACACTGTACCTCATAAACACACAATTATTATAAGCCAATTAAAAGTTTTAGCTGGGAGTGCTAAGGCACTGCTGTAATCCCAGCATTCGGGAGATTAAGGCTCGAGGACCGCGGCAAACCCGAGGGCAGCAAATACAGTGTACACAGCCGGCCGCCACAGACAGCACGGGCACGGGAGATGCAGAGTGTGCACTCGGCCCATTACTACTGATCAGCCCCAATCCACGGAGGCCATTCTGTGGGCGAAAAGCGCTGAATTTAAGCCAGCTAAATTCGAAACAGCGCTTTTCCGAAATCTAACCGCAACTGGAAAAAACATGTCGCAGTGAGAGGGCAGGGGCTCTGAAAGATCCCAGGCTTCATCCTATTTCTAATCCATGTGTTATCAAAAACTGTCCAGCGACGGTGCAGTACCAGCCCTCCCTCCCCCCAAAATACAATTCTACGGAACAGGAAAAAACAGCTATATCCACAAAAGCTCTCTTCGGCCGGAAGAGCAGTCCCAAAACACGCGAAGCGCTGCACAGGTTCCCATTCGCCCAGGACGCCCAGGCAACGGGGAGTGGGACCCGGCCGCGCCGCCTCTCCCCGGGGCCTCCGCAGACGGCCCCGCCCGGCCCCGCCGCCCCGCCCGGCCCCGCCCGGCCCCGCCCGGCCCCGCCGCCCCGCCGGAACCCGCCGCTCCCCCAAGCCGACTGCGACACCGCTGAGAACCTCCGCGCTTACCATCCTAAGTCTCTCCTCAGCCATCTTGGCTCCGCCCACCGCTGCGCGGCCGGAAGCTAACTGTTTCCCGGACGACCAGCCGAACCGGAAGTCGGAGCCAGGGACGGCAGGAGGAGGAACTTCAGCCAGGAAGGAATTAGTTGCCCGGGGGAAGACAGAGGAGAAGTCGGGAGGTTCCGGGAGGCGCGGCAGCAGGTGGCGTGGCTCGGAAGGAGTGCGTGAGGGAACGCTCGGCGGGAGATTAGATATCCTGCACCGGGCGGGACGATTTTAGAGTGTAGCGTGTGGGTTAGATATCAGATAGCGAAGCCAAGTGTGTGAAGACACAGTTCACTCAATAAATACAGGTAGCTCCTAAACGTACGAAAATAAAACTGCCGGGAAGAGAAAGAATGCAAACTGATGTTTCCAAGAGATGGTCTACCTCTTACATTGACAACAAAAATTTTCACTGACATATTTGCGAGAAAAGCATTCCTTCTTCATCACCATGGAAAGGAATTGGGCAAGCTTCCAATAAGAGCAGCTTAGCAACAACTACACAACTTAAAATACACATAACCTTTAACCCAATTGTCTCATTATAGGAGTTTATTCTCTACGTGTAGACATGAGACATAGCTTTACATATAAAGGAATCCAATGTGTCATTGTTTGGAATAAACCAAAGCCGAAAAACAACCTAAATACCCAACAGTAGTAATAAAATAAATTATAAGAAGCTCATATTATATGGCATATGAAAAAAGGCAACTATTTACGTGATGAGAGAATTGCCAAGGTACACTATTAACAGATAATTTACAACACGCAAAAATGAATATAGTATCTATGTTAATAAAAAAGAAAGCAAAAATAATATGTACACAATTCTTTATTGGAAAACATTTCTGGAAGAATGTTCAGAAAACTAAAAGTGGTTACTGTTACGGGTTCGGGAACAGACGCTCACTGACCACTCAGACACTAGGCTCGAGTCAATGGTTTATTGAAGGCTAAACGGAAACTAACCGGTCAGGGCCATAATCTGGACTCGGGAGCCAGACTACGACATTGGGCTGCTCCTAAGGCAGGTTTTTTTGTTTAATACAAAAAAAAAACCGGAACCAGGTATCAACTAGGTAACAAAACTGTAACCAGGTGTAGGAAACGAACCGCAACTAGTTAACAACCAGGTAACAAAAATGGAACCAGGTATCCAGGTGTAGGAAACATTACATCATTTTGACTAACTAGACAAAGCAGTTCTAACCTTTATAATTTGATTGGTTTCGCAGCTAGGAGTCTTCATTGAGTGTCCAGTTAACAAAGTATACAAAGTTTGAGAAATTAAATTAGAGATTTAATCAAAATGGACACTTGGAGGCAAAATGGTTTCTGATATGCTAAAGGCTACAGCATGTGTTACAGAGGAGCCATAGTTATGCTAAGAAACAAAATAAGTCTCAAAAGAGGTGCTAAAGAATTTAAGCAGGTTACAACACTTACCTCTAAGGAAGAGAACCAGAGAGCAGAGATAATTTTACACTATGTGGACATATTTATGCCAGTAATAAAATTTATGAAATGTACCACATAACATCAGGATTGTGGTTACTGCTCAGAAAGAGAAATGTAGAATAGTAGGAGAAAATAACCAGGGACTTAGACTAACAAGGAAAGCTTTTTCTACATAATAATTAAATTACGTCTAATGAATGAGGCATTATTAGCTGAAGGAGACAGGCTGAGGAAATGTGCCAACCAGGGAAGAATTCTAAAGCAACGAAAAAAAAAACAAAAAACAAAAAAACAAACAAACAAACAAAAAAACTGTGACCAGACGCTGAGGATGGCAAAAGCCTGGCTAGTTTGCAGCACAAAAGAAAACAGTACAGCTGGAAAAAACAACACTGAGAAAGCGTTGGCTCCCATGGGTGAAGAGGTTGTACAGTCCCATGACATAGACCCACCAAGACCATATGAGGATGTCTACCATGAAGAGCAACAGGTAGGCAACATCGAGTTCTGAGGAAAGAATGGCTTGATCAGAAGGAACAGCAGAAGAGTTATTGTTAACTACTAGTGTAGAATGAATTACGAATGCCAAGAATTAACAGGGTGTAGTGGCACATCCTTAACTCCAGTAATTTGCGAGGCAGAGGCAAGTAGATGTTTGTGAGTTTGAGGTCATCCAGTCTACACTGAGAGTTCCAGGACAGCCAGTGCTAAATAGCAGGACCCTGCCTCAAAAAATAAAATAGGGCTGGGTAGTGGTGATACATGCCTTTTAGTCCCAGCACTGGGGAGGCAGAGGGAGGTGGATCTCTGTGAGTTCAAGGACAGCTAAGGTTACACAGAGAAACCCTGTCTTGAAAAACCAAAAGAACAGATATATTAATTTAAAAATGCCAAGAACTGATAATCTAGGAGAGATTACTTTGCTTGGACAAAAGAGATGGTGCACACACACAAAAAAAGCAGGTGGATGGTGGCATATACCTATAATCCTAGCACTTAAGAGGCTGCAGACAGATCAGAAATTCATAAACATCCTTAGTAACAGTGAATTCTAGGTCAGCTTGCCTTGCTACATGAAACACTGTCAATGACAGATGATAGATAGATAGACAGATAGACAGACAGACAGATAGACAGACAGACAGATAGACAGACAGACAGATAAAAGATCTGGCACAGTGGCTCATACCTGTAGTCATAGCACTCAGGAGGCTGAAAACAAGAGTAAGAGGATTGCCATGAATTTGAGGCTACCATGGGCTACATGTGAGTTCCAGGCTAGGCTGAGCTACTTGGCAAGACCTTATCTCCAAAACAAACAGGCTGGGCACAACGACACATGCCTGTAATGTCAGCATTCAGGAGGCAGAGGCAGGAGGATCACTCGAAAAAGGCCATAACTGGTCGATATAGCAAGACCTTAATCTCCCAGAGCAGGGAGAGAGAAGAAATATAGGAAGTAGAGTACATTTATGATCATAGAAGTTGATGTTGTCGAATGAAAGGGAGATTCATGTCACATGTCAAAGGAATACTGCCAGGTTTCTCAATGTAAAAACAAATTTGGTGAATTGTTCAGCCAGTTACTAAGATTGAGAGCCTTAAGCATGATGTTAGAAAGTTCATGATCCTGTTTTCCGATATATAAAACCTCCTTGAAGGAGCCATGTGAAGATAATACTTTTAATATGTAGAAGCCTTTATTGTAAGTTTTAAATTTATGTTTCTTATGAGGAGGGGTGCATAAAGCACGGCACGTGTGGTGAGGACATTCTTCCAGTTTTAGTATTGTGATTTCTGTACAATTTTCAAAAAGCAGTGGGATGTATTGGCAGAAAATGGTTACTACACAAGCATAAGGGAAGGCTAGACACAATAGAGAACAAAGCTCATCAGATAATTTTAATAAATGAGCCATGAGAAAACCAGAGAATTTAAAACCAGTTAGATGAAAGCTAGGTGCAGTGGCACCCAGCACTCAGGGAGGCAGAGGCAGGAGGATCTGTTAGTTCGAGGCCAGCCTGGTCTACAAAGTGAGTCCAGGAAGGCCAAGGCTACACAGTGAAACCCTGTCTTGAAACAAAAAACAAACAAACAAAAAAATACAGTTAAATGAAAAGTATATACATTGAAAACAAGAGGTAGAGAGTCACTGAAATCTAAAGGGTAATAGCAGAGCCATCTACATACAGCAGTAATCTAAGGAGACAGACTATGAACATGAGAAATATGTGAATTATCCAAGTTTAATGAAAGATAACACTCAGCTAGGTGGTGGTGGCAACATGCCTTTAATCCCAGCATTCTGGAGGAGGAGGCAGGCAGATCTCTGTGAGTTCCAGGCCAGCCTGGTCTACACAGGGGAAAAAAAAAAAAAACATAAACAAACCACTAAACCAAACACATACTCACAGAGAGAGAACCTAAAACCAAACCAAAAAACTTGAAATCAACACCCCCAAAAGCTGAGTATAATGAAATAACTTCTTTAAAATCCTGAAAGATGAAAAATTCAGCATGGATTCAAATCTGTACCCATGCCATAATCACCTGGGAGGTGGGGTAGGAGGGCCAGAAGTTCAAGCTCTTTCTTAGCTACACAGCAAGTCTGAGGCTAGGCAGGGCTATATGAGACTCTGTCCTAAACACAACTTAACAACCCTGTATCCAGGGCCTGGGGAGATGGTTCAAAGGTTAAGAGCACTGGCTGTTCTCTCAAAGGTCCTGAGTTTAAGTCCCAGCAACCACATGGTGGCTCTCAACCATGACATCTGGTGCCCTCTTGTGGTGCGCAGGTGGCAGAATACTGTATAAATAATAAATAAAATAAAAATAAATAATTCTATATCCAAATACACCACAAAGAAAAAGCAAAATACATTCCTCAAGCAATGAAGAGTCAGAGAATGATTTCTAGAAAAATGGCAGTGGGGAGTTGGGGAGTAAATTCAATGACAGAGCACTTGACTGCCGTGTGGCGCAATCTCTGGCGTTCAGACTTGAGACATTACAGAGGGAATATGAACAGTAACAATGGGTGCACAGATTTAAAGAGTACAATGTTTCACATGTGTATATATTTCTAGTTCTACAAGTCCCATATAGAACATACTACGTTACTTAAATTTAAATTCATTGCAAGTAAAAATCCATTTACACTAGTCACATTTATCTGTTCAATAACCATCAATTAAGTACATAAAGTTCAATGTATATTCCTATCGTCATAGACAGTTCAATTGTACAGGACTATTCTCTTCCCCTCCCCTTCCTAAACCTTTCCCTTTTCTAAAAATAGCACTTAGCTTATTAGGAGAGGGCAACTTGCAGAAGTTGGCTCTTTCCTATCATGTGGGTCTTGGCGATGGAACTGAGGCCATCAGATTCAACAGCCAGCACTTTTACCCACTGAGCCATCTTGCCCCTCCCGTTAAACCGGATAGTTTATACTTGCCTGCCAATAGGCAGCGGGCTGGACAGTAACTAGAGGATAGCCTACAGCACAACCTTTTAAAATAGGTCAA